TGCAGCCATCTGGGGCCTTCCCTAGTCTGGCAATCACCCCTTCCCCGCATTCTGCCCCTAGCGCGGAGAGCCCTCATCTGCTACATGAGAGAAGAAGCATGGGCTAATATTTACAAGGAGAGGAGAGCAGCCCCCTACACACACACACACACACACACACACACACACACACACACACGGCCCCACCCAGCTCCCTTATCCCCTGCAAATCAATGTGAAGTTCCTGCTTCCACTGAGCCTGCGCCCATGGATTCCACTCTTGCCTCATCTGATCACGCTTCAGCACTTCCCTCTACCCCTCTACCTTAACAGCACATCCTGCTCCTCACTTCCATCCTCACCTCCCACCTCAGGTTCCCCACACCCTCGTCTCCAAACCCTACTTCTGCCTACTCAAAGGTCCCGCCAGCACCTCGAACTTTATCCATTCCAGGCAGTGCTTGTCATCTCTGCACCCCCTGTCTGTTATCTCTGCTCCTGATACTCCACATACAATTTTTCATTTTTTCATGAAATTCTATTTTGGAACATCTCTGGATCCCCTGTTCCTACTGCCAGCCACAGGCCATGCCTCACTAGTGCCTGAAGGCAGACCAGCTGAGTAAAGCCAGTGACCTCCCCTTTTCCTTGCTCACTACCCATTAAGAAAAATGCTCCTTAACCAGTTTGTCTCCACTGTCCAAACCCCACTGTCCACCCTAGATGGAGCAGTCTTCAGATAACCCAATCTCATTCAGTGATCTGATGAAGACCTGCCAGAGCTCCCCCATTATACCATACAATCCCACACATGAACCAATCTTCAGAGAGCTCTGGCTTTTCCCAAACCGTCTTCCAAGGATCCTTCAAGGCCACCTGGGTAAAAGTGAAGCATGGGCAGGATGATGTGTATGGGACCCATCCAGGATCCCCATCCACTTCAGCCAAAGTTTTGTTTTTCTTTGTCTTGGGCTTTTGCATAAGATTTTGCTTGGGAAAGAAGGATCCCACACTAATAATTCATGTCCTCCCATTTTGCAGATTAGGACTCAAAGACTCCCAGAGGAGATGCACTCTGCTCAGGCACACACAGCAAGTCTGAGCTGGTGAAACTAGGCTTCCCACCCAGCCCCCCACCCTACCCTGGGATTTCTCCCTCCACTCAACAGGGCCTTCCTCAAAATGAATGAATGAATGAATGAATGAATGAATTTAATATGCCAGCAAAAGATTTGCCAGGTCACCGTTCTTCCCTCCATCCCTTACCAGCCAAACAGGTGTATTATCTGTGGCTTGACCAGTGTGTACTCAAGCCCAGACTTAACAATTCTTTGAGAGCTGGGCCAGCCTTGTAGCACTCACCTTTCCTCCCCACCACTTCCTATTTCTAAAAAGCAGTACAGACCATGCCTACCCTCCCATGGGGTGGCCCACCCAGGAGATCCAGGGAACTCAAGCATGGGAGAAGCTGTCCAGGGCCCTGGCCTAAATTTCTGCATCCCAGCACTAGCCTCCAGATCTGTACCTGCAGCTCAGCCCGACCCACTGCGGTTGCAGATTTGAAGGCCGTGGTCTTGCTGCCCCAAAGGAGGGGTGGAGGAGGGTAAGGCAACTGCGGTTGCCATTTGGTCTTGGTTGTTGAGGTAGAGGATGCTGGGAAATCTGAACATGCTATGCTCTGAAAATGAAAAGGCAGAGTCACTCTGTGGGAGCACAGTCAGGGCCACCAATTCCGGCACCCATGTGAAGCACCTAGCCTAAGACAGAGGGGAGAGGGGCAAGAAGGGTTTGGGGTCCCTAGGTCTCATCCTTGCTAGCCAGATACCCTCTAGGGAGGATGGGCTGGGGTTCTGAAAGGAGTGGCATCCGGCTAAGGTAGAATTGGGGGGAAAGGCACACTTGATGCAGGCTTTGAGAAGCCTGGAACATAAGCTGGTACCAGGCTGTATAGAGACTCCTAAGGGACCCTGCTCCCCAAGCCCAGCATTCAGGAGCAAAACAATTTGAGAACACAGGTAATGATGAAGCAGATAATTGTGGGAAAAGAGAGGTATCCAAAACTAAAGATGAGGACCAGAAGGTGAGGTAGGGCCATTATAACACAGAAAGGGTGGGGATGGAAGATGTCACGTTGGAGACAAGACAGCGCCCACGTCAGGCTCCCACAGCACGCCTGGCCCACCATTCTGCCCACCATCACCCCCTTGCCTATCCCTGCTCCCCACTGTCCCCATATGAGGACCTTGGGCTAAACCTTCCTAATACCCACTGCTCTTCTTTCTACTCTACCTCCACTGATGCTTCAAGACCTCAGCTCATGTGCCACCCTTCTGGACCAGCCTAACTTAATAATAAGCACCTCCTCACCGGGGGTTGAGGGCGTGGGGAATAACAATCAAGGATCAGCCCTCAGCCCAGGACATTTCACATGGATTCTTTACTTGACCCTCTCCCTAGCCTCCCAGGTTTGGAATTCTGACGCACATTTTATAAATGAAGAGATGGAGGCCAGGGAGCAGGACTCAAATTCAAGTCTCCTAACTCTCAGTTTTGTGCTGGACCCACTACCTTTGACTCTTAACTCCAGAGGCTGTGGCTTCTAGCCCTGTGGGCCTAGATGCGTATAAGGGCACTACAGAACCAGGTACACACACACGCACAGCCTATAAATTGAAAACAGTTGTGCCCACGGGCAAGTCTGGACAGACTGGAAGCGTTCCAGTTCCTAATTGGGACGATGGCCATCTGGATGTGTTCACTCTGGAAAAGTCATCAAACTATACTCTTAAGATATGACACCTAAATACAAAAGAAGAAAGTAAGAGAAAAACAAAACAAAACAAAAAGATACCACACCTGTCTTTTGAACACTTTTTGGTATATATGTTATACTTTCACAAATAAAAAGTATATATGTTATACTTTCAAAAATAAAAGTTTATTGAAAAACAACCATACCTAAATAGAAGAGATATATTTATGCACATGGATGCAGATGCTGCTGGAATTTACTGAGTACAAGTTCATTCAAGTTATTCCCCAACTCACAGAAACAGTGGTCGCTTCTCATTTAGTATTTGTTCTATGGATGTATACTGAGCACAACTACAGTCAGAAGAGGCTGTAATATCTGACTTAGGAAGGGGTCCTCATACACAGTATGTTTTCTGTCAATACAGTATGTTTTCTGAACCACTCACTAGACCCTGGCCCCTCCTAGTCACATCTTATGGGGACTTATCATATGTTTAGCCTCATCTCTTCCCCACAAATGTGTGAAGATGAGGGCAAGGCCCTGTCTCCCCCACCTTGGCAAGGGGACTCTGCATGCATCCTCATCAGTAAGCAACCCGGGGCTGCCCCAAGTGAGCAGCCAATGTCCACTATCGTCCCCCAGCCAAGATGGGGCGGGGGGGGGAATTGGGTAAATACGGGATGGAGGAAGTGGAACTGCACGGCCTCTTTCCCACGCTGTCCCCTAACTGTGGACTGGCCCCTTCCACTGCTAAGCAGAGGGCAGGAGGGCCCTACTTTCACTGAGACCATCCCCACCCACATGCCTCCACACCCTTCCCTTGGGGTGGGCAGAGGGAATGAGCGCAGTCTCCTCTGAGAAGTGGCCCCAGGAGCTTCCCCTCCTCAGCCCCAGGTCTCAACACCAGCCCTGAACAAGCCACTTCCTCTTTCTGCCCTGGCAGTGGGCAGGGGGATTTGTGCTGGGGGCAGGGACACACTGCCTACTACCCCAAGGGGCTTCCCGTGGACAGCTCTGGGGACTGGGGTTGTGAGGTTCAGGCCACCAGATCTGATCTCCTGGCCCTGGCCCAGGCCCTACCATGACCACATGTGTTGTTATCTCCCCTAAAACAGGCTTCCAAGCA